GAATCTGGTTACCAGAAATATCTACATTCCAGAAAAGGAGCAAAATATGAGTAAAATGGCTCCTTCAGGGGGTAAACTGATCTCCCCAAAATTAATCAATTGATGGCATCATCTTGTTTTTAAAATAATCAGGGAATGCAATTTATTCACTTCTACTTCTGATCGAATTATAAAAATATTTTTTTTCAAGCTACCCAAATACCTTTTAATAAGGGGGGGTGGTGAGGGGGGGGGAGAAATTTTCTGTTGATTTTCCTGATTTCCCTCCCTTACTTTATGAGCTTAGCTTTGAATTGAAGTAGAAGCTGAAGGTCAATGGAGCATTGTAGCAAAGCGAAGAGAACCCTGGGTAGAAGTCAGAGGACCCACAGCTCATCTGCTCTGCCTCTAACCAGCTTTATGATTTGGGGCAAGTACTAACCTCCTTCTTAGTTTCATCTTGTACGATTCAGAACCACTATACACACAATTCTGTTAGGCTGCCCCATAGTTGGTGACGTAGCTGTCACCGTAAGCATAACTATAAAGTCTGACTGGCCACCTGGTGACCTGAAGAACTCGAGTTTGTCTAAGGCTCTCCCCCATGTGTCATTTCATATGATGACCATGACAATCCAGTCCAGGAAATGCCATGATCCCATCTTATAGACAAGATCAGAGAACAAAGCCACTTGGCCAAGCTCCTGGAGCAATGATTGGAGATTGAGGACATCACCCCAGACCTGATGGATGCCATGTCCAGCGACTTGTGGACACTGCTCCTCTGTCAGGGATGCTTAGGAGGAAGATTCCTGAACCAGGAAGTTGACTGGCATGATGGTTTCTAAGGTCCCTTCCAATTCTAATAGTCTGTGCTTCCATCCATAAAATAAGGGGGTTAGATTAAACCAAAGGTTTTAAAAACTTCTTGTAGCAAAAAAGCTTCTTTCCCTTCAAATGAAATCTATGGTAGAATGCCAAAATAGAAAACATATCATTCTGGTTGAAAAAGAGATGGCTTCCACCAAATGCCCATCAAGTGACAAATAAATATAAAATGTGGTCTATCCAAATAATGGAATATTATCTATTTATATTTTTTATTTATATAAAAGCCCACACGACTGGCCGACCAGCCAGTAGCTATGATGCGCACTGACCACCAGGGGGCAGACACTCAATGCAGGAGCAGAAACCAAGGCATGGAAATATGGAACAGACTGATGAATCTCAGAGGGAAGCGGGAGGGCAGGAAGAGATTAACCAAAGATCTTATATGCATATGTGCATGGATTCATCCACTGGTAGGATCCCTCGGCCTGGCCCGTGCCCTCTCGCAGTCCAGGACCCCTCGCTCCTACTGTCTTCCTGCTCGCTGCTCCTTAGCACTGCTGTGGAGGCGGGAGAGGCTCTTGCCACGGCCACTAGGCTCACCAGCCATGACCCTGGCATCTGGCTGAGCTGCACTCCCCCTGTGGGAGCGCACTGACCACCAGGGGACAGTTCCTGCATTGAGCGTCTGCCCCCTGGTGGTCAGTGTGCATCATAGTGACCAGTCGTTCTGGTAGTTCCACTGTAACAGGTTGCTTAGGCTTTTATTATATAGATGTTATCACAGTTCCAAATAGTTCTCATATGACAGTGATTTTATTCCTAACCCAACAAATAAATATGCCTGGGCCTGTTACATCTTGCTATTTGGAAACAGACGTTTCCATTGGCAACCAGCATTAATGCCAAAGTGACCTAGTAGCTTCAGTTTTAGGATATATTATTGGTTTTAAACTCAAAATTCTACTTTTAATATACAGAAAAGATAACAGGAAATAAGCATTATTTTTTGTGTTTTTTAAAAATGTTTTAGTAAATAACTTTATTGTTGGGTAGTAAACGAAGCATTATTAAGGGCCTACTATATATTACAAATTTTGCACATTGTTTCATTTAAATGTTATTATCTCCATTTTATAGAAAAGTATACTGAGGCTCAAAACTGCTTTGCAACATCCCCACAGTCAAAATTTGAATCTTAGTCTCTCTAGATCAGCCGTGGGCAAACTACGGCCCGCGGGCCGGATCTGGCCTGTTTGAAATGACTAAAACTAAAAAAAAAAAAAAAAAAAAAAAAAAAGACCGTACCCTTTTATGTAATGATGTTTACTTTGAATTTATATTAGTTCACACAAACACTCCATCCATGCTTTTGGTCCAGTTTAAGAACCCATTGTGGCCCTCGAGTCAAAAAGTTTGCCCACCTCTGCTCTAGATCAAGAAAAAGCTCTTTCAACTATGCCAAAGGATATCAGCAAGTTCTCGCCCTGGAGAAGGCATGAGGACTGATTGCAGTGCCGCCACGAACATGACTGCAGTGTACAGGCCCCTGAGGGTGTGAAGATGCATGATGCACAGACGCATGCATACCAGGCCCTTCTAATGCCCCCTCTGCGTCTTCTCAGAGGAATTTAGAGATTTGAGCAGTTCAGGCAACTATCTCCCTTTTGCCTTCAGTCTGTGCAGAAAAATGAAGACCCACCTCAGAAGTCTTGCTGACAAAATGACTTAAGAAGGAGCTACTGAGGGACAACTTTTGCTAGCAAGTTGAAGAGAAAGGCTAGCATACCCTTTGTTTTCAAGGGTTTAGGTCACATCCTATGCAAACGCAAAAGCTCTGCCTTCTAAAGGTAACTTCCAGCTGAGAAGTCTATGTGACATCATTTCCTACAGTTGGAGTAACATGGTCTCAGATGTGGACACGGGTGATTCAGTGCAACCCTGTGCCTTTTTTGTGGCTATAAACATGGTGCTTTTCCAAGCTATTCTAAACATTTCTACACAAAGGAGTGGAGATGAATTTCAGCCTTTTTCTCTGCCTGGAAAAGTTATCAAAATGATCATAATAATCTCTTGTGTAGAAGTACACCTCACAAATTACAAAGTGTTTTCATGAACAATCATTGCTGTTTTTTAAAGATGAAATTAAGGGATATATAAATAAATAATCACATTTAGCTATTAACATATAGCCTTAATATTGTAGGTAAGGAAAGGGTGAGATGAAAGAATTTTTATATTAGAATTGAAGTCAGGTTCTTGAAGTTCAAACTGCTCCTGGTTATCAATTAAAAGAAAAGTCAATGCTTTTTAAATTAAAGATGAAGTGCTGCCACTTATGACTTAATAAGTTGTAAATGCCTTTCCCATCCTTCCTAATGGCTCTGTGTCCCACTGCTATTAAAAATCACATCCACAGCTCACGTGAGCTATGCCGAATGCCAGGTGTAGGAGGTAAAGCAAACAACTTAGAACAAGAAAAAGAAAGCAAATCACGTTCAGATCCACTTAATGCAAAAATGATTTTGGTGGCAGAGTTTGAGAGGGCTGGGGCCACACAATGGCCTTTGAACTTGTACCCACCGAAGGAACCAGAATCCTAATGTATCAATCAAGGTCACCTTTAAAAAGCTTGTACCACCATGCCACCAAAATCTCACCACAGTCTTTCAAGACCTAATCTCTACTGGTGAGATCAATAACCATTAGATACTCATCATAGGTTTTCGAGAAATGAGTTGTATTGCAATTAATCTAACCAAGCTGCATTAATCTGCCGCTTTTCTTTAAAGACGGCTAAAGAACGCAGCTGCAAGCATGCACACATGGACATTGTCTGGCTGCCGTAGTGTTTGAGTTGCTCCGAGGACTTGGCAGACCTGCCACGCTGTCACTTTAAATGTCTAATGGGTGAAAGCCACATCTGGCAGGCTCGGCCCATGCAAATGAGAGGTGACTGTCCTTGGCTGAGTCTTGCCAACAATGACAGTGTGCACCTCACACGGTGACGTGCACAGTAGAGGGGAACTCAGTCAAGCAGGCACCACCCAGCCTGACTCAGAGTATGTATGACAAACACTCCATCAGAGTGACATTTCCTGCAGGGCAGTGGTGCCAACCATGGCTGCATGGTAGAGTCGCCTAGGGAACCTCAAAAATGTCTGGCTAGGCTTCCCGCCCCGGCTAGTGAAAATCAACATCTGTAGAAGGGGGGAGGGGGCGCCTTGCACTGGTGTCTCTGAAAGCTCTCCAGATGATTTGAGAATGCAGCCAAGGGGAGGGCAGTACTGCAGGGTGGTTCTAACAGTATTTGAGCTTGAGCCCAGTTGGTGAGGGGCTGCAGTCCAGGAACCTGCAAAACACCACTTGCTTAGGGAAGTCAGCATTCCTCACAGCCTTGAACCATAGCTGACAAGCGCTTTACTTGTCTGGGAGCATTTGGGTCGATCTCATTTGTCGGGGATACGTGGAATGCTATTTGAAATGCCTGTCTTTGATTTTTCTGCCTAAAACCACCACAGTGATATTTACTCAACCCTTATTTTGTGGAAGCCAGGAATTTAGGGAAAGCAAAACAAACAAAATACCCAAGTGAAATGTCATTCATTTCAGGGGTGATTCCATGGGAGGGGGGCATGCTTTCACCAACATCCCAATATGACGTTCACTGGGTAGGTGGGACTGACAGGAACTATAACTGTTGTGAATATTATAGAAGCACCAGAAGGCAATAAATTGACTCTGCAAATGCTGACATGAAAAGTTTATACTGCAGAGAGTGCAGCCATCGTGAAGAAAATAAAAAGGAAGCAATCTTTACTCACCATGTCCATGGTACCTATGGGCCCTCTTTTGATTTGTTTTACTCTCTCCCTCTGCTTGAGGATTTCAAAGAGGAGCACCACGTGAACAGTGGTGGGCAAGAGGAGACCCTGTCACTAGGGGGAAGTGGGCTTTTAGTGAGACTTTCAGATTCAGATAACAACTAGCTAGAAACTCATGGGCAAGTCTCCATCTCCCGAGTCACCATGTTTGGAGCCTGATATTCATAAATGAAAAAATGATTCATTTGATTATTTCATATGTAAATCTCACTAATGACGTTAACATGTTCCAAGAACTTAACTTACCTGCTGCATAGGGCATGGGGAGCAGTGTTGATAGAAATAGATGATACAAAAAGCACTTACTGGTTCTCTCTTTTCTTCCTCAGTGGGTCCATGAGGCGCAGGGTGTCTCTGATCACGGCCACTTTCACCTCCTCATCGACAAGGCTGGGGACATTTTCAAACACCCCTGGAGAAAGCTTGAACGGTAAGAATTCCATGTTACAGTGGAGAGACTCAGGGATTCAGTATCAAGTGGCTGTCAGTACCCAGTGGTTGAGTTTGCTTATGTTAACTAGACAAGAATATTTTAAAGGCTCCCTGTATATGACCTTAAAAAAATGTCAGTTTCCTCTTACAAATTAATAAAATGCATGAGGAGGAAAAATAGTAGTATATTTTTTGATTATTACAATTATACATGCTCACTGTAGAAAATTTAGAGATATCGAAAGGAGTTAAGAAAATTAAAAGAATCCACATAATCCCCCTAAAACCTATTACTAGTATTTGGTGTATTTCCTTCCAGTCTTTTTAATACCTTTTTTGGGGGGGGGCGGCGGGGGAGGAATATAACCACTGTTAAATGTACTATTTATCTTAGTGATTCAAGCATGTCGACATGGCTAAATCATATTCATAGAATTTCAATTAGTTCATCTCCCGAGGCTAATTAGTTCATGTCAAAACTGATGGAAAGGCTCAGCTGCTTCTACATTTCCAGATCTTAAAAATGGGAAGAACAGCATGCTGGGAAATTTCCACAGATCGGATAGGTCTTACATTAATAGTCTATGTTCAGAGCTCAATAAAACTGGAGTTATTTAGACTCGAACAGAACTTTGCTGTGCATATTTGGGAATGCTGAATCTTGTTTAGCCAAGTGAGTAATATGAGAGCAGAAACATCCAGCTGTACAGCAATATATTCAATGAGATACTCAAAAGACTTACTTCTTGCTCATGTTCAATTCTCATGCTGGGATTTGCATTAACTTCAAGTAGTATAGGCTTCAGATTTTTCATTAGAAGAATGTCAAAGCCTAAAATCTGCACAGGATAAAAATAATTCAGAATTACTCCCTCTAGCTGCAATTTCTTTTCAGGAATTGGGGTTGGTGTAAAGGTCAGTAAAGTGAAAATAAATTGAAATGTGGCCCCCAACGTGGGCCTTGACCCTGGCTTCTCTTGTCCGCAGCCCCTCTTCCTCTGGGCATACTTGTCAAGCCAAATGGACGACAGAACATTTTATAGGAGCCTTGATAATGGGATGAGTTCCCACAGTGCATTGCAGCACTATCACCATCATCTGAAGTGCTACCGATGATGACCTCTTTCTTCTTTAACAGGTTTTTCATTATGTTAAGGATCAGTAGTAGTCCATCAACTTCCCCCTCTCCTTTTGTTCTCCTCTATTAAGTTGCTTCTTAGCTAGATCTCTGAAAACTCAAGGCTACCTTTGTTAACCTTGGGTGTATATCAGTATCATTTAAGGACCCCTTTCACAACCACTGTGCATCCCCAATCCACACCTCTGAGTCAGGATCTTCCAGAGTGGAACGCAGGCAAATGTATTTTGAATAACAAATTCCCCTGATGATTCTGATATACCATCTTAGCTAATCAGAAGGGAATCTTTATTAAGCAGTTACTAGGCACCAGTAACTTCATCATCTCATTTAATCCACGTGACAGTGTATTTGAGGTAGAGATTATACTCTCCATGAAGCAGAAACTGAGTCTCAGAAAGGCCAATGGATTTACCCAAGACTGCCTCCCTAGTAAGTGACAGAGCTGAATTTCACACCCAACCAGGACAGGCTACATAATTTGTGGGACCCAATGCAAGAAGAAAACACAAAGCTCCTTGTTCAAAAAGTATTAACAATGTCACAATAGTGAGAACAGAGCACGAAACCAGGCACGGAGCCCTTCTGACCATGGGGCACTGGGTGATTGCGCAGATCACATGCTCACGAACCTGGCCCACACCCAGAGCTAACTCCAAAAGCTAACCATTTGTTGGCCATCTGCCCTTGAACCCAGCAGGCTGACTTGGTGAGGCTTTCTCCTCTTCTAGCCTCTTTCTATTCCTTACAAGCCCTCAGCCAGCCGTGCATCTGCCTGAAACAACCCTTCACCTAGATAATTCCTCCTCATCCTTGAGATCACAGGTCCTAATTAGATTCAGACTCAGACAGTGAGGATGTCAGGCTCTTAAGAGACCTCTCATTATCCTACCAGAGGTGATAAGATAGAAAGCTTATAACATAATTGATGCAATCCCAAAGTTTCAAAAAATAATGTGGAGAATAAAGGAGAGAAAAGAAAAAGATATAGCTGCACCCTCCTCTGTAGACTCAAGAAGACGGGGGGGGGGGGGGG